AGTTGTATAACCATCCTCGATCTCCTTTTCTGAACTGCTGCTCCACCATTAACATATATTCACTGCCCCCCTAAGTTTCCTATCTGATCTTTTGAGTTGCTATTTTCAATGTGATCCCATGTAGATATATCTTAAGGGAGCTCTGGTGGTGTAGTGCCTAAGGCATTTGACTGCTAACCAGAAGGCTAGTGGTTCAAACCCACCAGCCACTCCTTGGAAGGAAGGTTTGGCAATCTACTTCTGTAGTGATACTGCCTTGGAAACCCAAGGATGGATTGCTATGAGCTGGATCCAACTTGACAGCAGTGTGTTTGGTAGACAGATCTTAAAAGAGGACAATGCTCAACGCAGACACACTTTAACACTTAAGCAAACACTAGTGTTGGGTTTTATGAAGCCTTCAGGAGATATTTTTGGTTTAAGGTTTAAAGATTACCTCAGAGCTATAGTCTCAGGGGTTATCTAACTTCCATGGTTCCAGAAAGTCTGTAGTTCATGATAACTTGTGATTCTGTTTTGCATTTTCTCCCTTCTGATTAAGATTCTTGTATGGAATCTTGGATCAAAATGTTCAGTAATGGTAGCAGGGCACTATCTGGTTCTTCCAGTGTCATGCCAAAGGAGGCAGTTGCTCATGGAGGCAATCAGCCACACATCCCACGTCCTCCTCCTATTCCTGACTCCTTCTTTCTCTGTCGCTCCAGCAAAGCAGAGATCAATGGTGCCCTAGAGGGCTGCTTGCAAGCTTTTAAGACACTAGGCACCACACAAAGAACCAGGAGGTAGAGCAGAAGCCCTAAACATGTTTATTAAAGAAACTGGGATGTCCCATGAACCAAGGCCCTAAAGCTCCAAACCAAGAAAGCAAATCCCACGAGGTTTTCTGTGTACATACGTACCCTCAGCAGCTTGGTCACTGTAAATATGTCTACCACACCACTTTTGCCAATTCAACTTTTTATAGGTATACAATCCATTGACAGCAATTACAATCACTGGCTGTGCAAACCAACCCTTAATCAATGCAGTATTTCCCTCACCGTTAACTCCCTTTCTCCCCTTTCCTTCCTGCCCCTCATCACCACTAATAACCTTTGTTCTCTACACATTTCCCTTTTCTTGTCTTTCTGGATAAGTGAGGTCGTATAGTATTCGTCATTTTGTGATTGACTCATTTTTCTCAGCAGAATGTCTTCAAGCTCCACTCATATGACAGCATGTATCAAGACTTCATTTCTCCTACTGGCCGAGCAATGTGCCACAGTGTGGACCACCTTTTGTTTATCCATTCATCTGCTGGTGGGCATTGAGACTGTTTCTACCTGTCGGCTGTTGTGAATGCTGTTACAGTGAACACTGACGTACAAGTCTCTGCTTTCAAGTCTTTTGGGTATATACGTAGGAGTGGAATTGCTAGGTTGTTTAGGAGCTCTGGGGGCATAGTGCCTAAGGCACTTGACCGCTAACCAGAAGGCTGGCGGTCCAAACCCACCAGCCACTCCTCGGAAGGAAGGTTGGGCAATCTATTCCCACAGTGATACTGCCTTGGAAACCCAAGGAGGGGTCGCTGTGAGTCAGATCCAAATCGATGGCAATGAGTACATTACTTCAGTTGTCAGTTTTTGACGAATCACCATACTGTCGTCCAACATTCTTCGTTCTTAAGTAAACTTTCAACCCACTCGTCCTTCCAGTGTTTACATGTCAGTGCCTCCCACCTTCACTGCTCCCCCTAAGCCCAGGTCAGGCCCCTGTCACATGCTCTCACATTTCTCCTGTGCAGCACCCAAGACAGTCAGTTAAATCATTTCCTGTATGTTGGTTACAGATCACGTCTCTCTTTTCCTTGCGGGGAAGGGCTATGAGGCAGCGAGTGTGTTTGGCTGAATTAGGGGGTGGCAAACTGTTTCTGAAAATATAGTAAACAAATATTTTGGAGTTTGTGGGCCACAGAGAATGAGGTGCAACTACTCAACTCTGCCATGATAACCAGAAATAGCCCTTGATGAGACAGAAATGAATGGGTGTGGCTGTGCCAGTAATACTTTATTTACAAAAACAGGCGGTCGTTTAAAGGGCCATACTTCGCTGACCCCTGGTCTAAATCACAATGAGTTCTGGTGGCACTGTGGTTAAAAAACTGGGCTGCTAACCAAAAGATAAGCGGTTTGAACCTACCAGCCACTCTAAGGGAGGAAGATGAGACAGTCGGCCCTCTGGGGCAGCAGTCCTCCTCTGTCCTCTAGGAGCGCTGTGAGGCGGAATCAACTCCATCATAGTGGGTGTGATTCGAGCTTTGCTTCTGTAAAAATCACAGCCCTGGAAACCCTCTAGGGCAGTTCTACTCTGTCCTCTGGGGGCGCTGTGAGGTGGAATCAACTCCATGGGGGTGGGTTTGGGTTGGTCTAAATCACCAGCACTCTAACACCTGGCATACAGTAGGCAGTCAATGAACAAACAAAGCTAAAAACGCCATTGAGTTTGGCAACGAGATGGAAACAGAACCCAGGGTAGGTGGTTTTAGTGGGATGGTGGGGGTGGAACAGAGATGACAGGGGGTTGAGGAGTGAGCAGAAGTTGAGGAAGCAGGAAGTTTTTTTTCTGAGAGTTCCACAATTTGCAGGGCAGGGCTGGGAAATGGGACTGCTGCCGTGGAGTGGCACAGGTCATCAACACGGTTGCAAGTTATGGCAACAGAGAAGGGCTGGGGTGAGAGAGGGAGGGAGTGATGAAGAGGGGGAGGGCAGGGACTCCTGAGCCCAGGACTGTGCCCGGGGCAGGGATGGGCCTTGAAGGAGGAAAACACCTTCCAAGGCTGAGGAAAGGAGACCAGGAAAGGCTGTTAAGTTCCATCCAGTGGCTTTTGACTCATAAAGACCCTACAGGACACAGCAGAGCCGCCCTAGAGGCTTTCCTGGGTTACAACCTTTGCAAGAGTCAACTGCCTGCTCTTTTCTCCTGAGAAGCTGCTGGCTGGGTTCAAGCCACCAACCTTTTGGTTCACAACCGAATGCTCAGCCACTGCACCACCAGGGCTCCTTCAACGAAAAGTGGAAGGGATGACATGAAAGGAAAGCCTTGTATTCTTCCCCATGAACTCTAAGGCAAGACACGTGGTGAAGAGCGTGGGACTGAGAAGGCTCAGGGACCATCACTATCTGACAGGTTAGGAGCTCCTGGCAAGTGGGGAAGTGGCAACCTGGGTCAGAGCCAGGGCCTCCCCCAAAGGACAGTACCAGACTCTTCATTATATTCTGAGAGGAACATATAGAGAACACTTCTGTAACCAAGGGTGGCTCCTGGGTGCTGTGTGGGTTCTGTGTTTCCAGCTCTGACTAAGTGGGAAGTGTGTCACTCACTGAGTCAGTGGCACAACCCGTTGTCCCTTCCTATGCCTTCACTTTCACACGCAGGTAGTGACAGGTAGGCCCTGAGGAGGATGAGGTCATGCCTGAAACATGTAGACATAGCAGTTCTTTCTCGAAGGACACTGAAAGGCATTTTAATTCAGAAATAGCTAGTGGTGGGTTTCACCCCCATGTCTTCAGATGTGGAGGAGACACCCAGAGCTTAATAAAGCAGGCACCAAAAATATCAAGCACTTAAACTGACAACAGAAGCTTGTCGTTGTCAAGAGGCAGTTTTATGGCAGCTTCCCTCCTCTGCTGGAAACCACAGCTTATCTATTTCCTTGTTAGGCAGCTGGCCTGCCTGGAACATAAAGGCATATTTCAGCCTAACGATGGGTAACATAGGGTCCTTCCTTAAATCTAGGAGACCCTGTGAGTGAGAGTTTAACAATAAAAATATTACAGTAGCTATTTAATTTTATAAACATAACACAGAATTAAAACCTAGATAACACAACTTCTCATATATGGAAGGTAGCTGGCATTGCAATAAAGACCTTGAAAATTTTTCTGAGTCAAAAATCTGTAAGCCAGTCAATTTCATTTCTCCAACGAGCCAGAGGTCTGGAAAAAACCTTATGTTTCAATGTTAACTTATGGATTCCTTGTCTGACCAGTGCTGGAATGGGTGAAAAGGATTTGGACTCAATTCTACTTCTTTTCATGAAGGACTAAAACCGTCTAAGAACCTTTCAACTGACATAGCTGAAAGCAAAGTATCATGCCTTGTTTTCCACCCCATTTTAAGTTATACCTGCTGCTGCTGTTTACAGACAGAATTATCTATTATATCCTAATAAGTAATGCTGATTCATATTTTCTTTTGATGTTTTTCACGCCTCACAAGTCAAAAGTAAGTTTCCTATTGAAACATAGCAATGTTTACTGTATTCTTCCAAGCCCTTCCTGAGAAGATAGGAATCGGAGTCACCAAATTCACTGTCAAATGGCAACACCCACACCTGTGTGACCTTTCTATTTGGAAGGACTTTCAATGTACCTTTTGATGTGTATTAAATACACTTAATCTCTTACCCTATTGTGGGGTTGATGTTCGGATCAAAGCTGTCTTCCACAAACCGCCATACGATACTCGATTTGCCAACCCCTGTATCCTGAAAGAGAATGAGATGGTCCAATCAGGGAACGTTTACTAGCCTGCACACTGAAAACTACCTATGGTTTAAGTTCAGGACTTTATAAAAATCCCAAGGATGTAAATTTTAGCAGTTAAGGGACAGAAAGGAGGCTTTCATAAAACCTCGGTACAGTCACTGTTGTTAGTTTCAATCAGTTGATTCAAGTCATGGCAACCCCTTCCTGCCAGTCCAACTCCTCCACAGGAGTTTCAAGGGTGTCATCACTCAGAAGCAGATCGCCAGGCTTGCTGGAAGATTTCTGAAGCTTTTAAAAGATATGAGGGCCTTTTGAAAGATCCTGTGAAAAGTTACAAACCCACTTGCTTTTCAGCATGCATATGCGAATTATAAACTCTTGGAACACTTGGGAGGAATCCGTGATAAATTCCAGCCCCACCCTATGTGAGATTAAAAAAATAAAAAAGACTAGCTGGCACCCTTTTCTATCTTCAAGGCAGCAACTCGGGAAACAGAGCATCAGCCTCAAAAAGAATCCACTGAAATGGCAAAGCTGTCCTGGAAAGACAGAAAGCTAAAACTTCAAACCAGTCTTTGAGGTTTCCGGACAAGCCTGCAAGTTTCTAAGACGTGAGCCCCTCCCCTTTAGCCGCCCCCCCCCGCCCCCCCCTTTCACAGAGTAACTCTGCCAGTGTCAGGGGCATCCCACAAGTTCAAAAACAACAAACAGATGGGAAAGGAGGCTAATGTGGCTAGTAAAACCTAAAGACCTGTTA